TAAAGTACACAACAATCAAAACCAGATTTACTTGTTGAGCCCCCTAAGCCGCAACTCCATTAGCCACTTTTTCTTTAACAAACCGACGCACAAGATAAATAAAAAACATTGACCACACTTTTTTCTTCTAACCATAATAAAAAGTATCCACACATTCAACATATATATCTCGCTAATATTCCCATTCAACATTTATATCGATCAAAGATTCTAAAATGCACAAACTTCAAAAGCATACGGACGTATACAATGTCTAAAATCTTCATAAAAAACTCGCTTTTCAAATAATATTATGACCACAATTATCTATTGATAAAATTTATGAATGGCCATCACTATAAATAAATATCATGACCTTCTATCCAAATCACACACTTCTTATCTCTACGACCAAACATAGATAAAAAACGATCAATTAATATTCTAATCTTTTTATCATTGAAAATTAAATTCTAATTCTCTTGTTCATGTATTCTTGCAAGCAATCATGAAATTAATGAACAAATATCTAGCAATTACATTACAATTGTTTTCACAACAACAATTAAAATTTCCATACGCTACAAACTTGCTTTATCCAATATTTTGAGATCTTTGTTTCATAATAATAATAATACCTCATCCACTAAGAACATCATTTGTTCACTTCTTAGACATTTGTCTTCTCTAATAATAAATTTTATATTTTAAATTAGTGCATGGATCCATATATATTGAGACGTCTTAATAGATCAACAATGCAAGCACTTGATGCGATCATCGATCGATAGATTTGAGGTTTTTCTTATTCTTTATCATTAATAAAAACAACAAAAATATATATATGAAGCATGATCATTTATTTATCTTTTTTAAAATTATTTTGAGATTCGCACATGTATTACACACTTAGAGCAAAAATATTACAATATAGACACAACATGCACATGGTGATATTTTGCATGAACACAAGTGCCAAAGGTTTACAACTAGAATTACGTACACATTCTCATGTGTAGTACATGGACCTCTTAATTTTATCTCCATTCCAAAGTATGCTCCTCGAAGAACCACTTGCTATTATTTCATATTTTTTTACTGCAGTTTAATAAATAAGCTCCATAACCACTATAAAAAAAATTGAGTTTAGTGATGGAATATTCCGTTGTTAAACGCTCCAATTCCATCACTAATTGTGACTAGTGACGGACCATATGTCGTCACTATTTTGCTAGTCGCTAAATTTTTACGACGGAATACTCATTCCGTCGCTAAATTTAGTGATGGACAATCCGTCGCTAAACCAAAAAAAAATCCATCGCTAACCTCATCGTAGGATTGCTCTTTTTTTGTAGCTAATCCATCACTATTCCGTCGCTAATTTTAAAAATTGAAATTGTCACCAATCCATCGCTATTTCATCACTAATTTAAAAAATAATTTTCCACAATTTTGTTGCTTTTTTTTACATTTTTCAAAATTAAATTATTAATATGAAATTTAATAATTAATATTTAATAATAAATAATTATAAGTAATCATGTATATATGAAAAATAAAATAATATTAACAAAATCATTCTAGAATACGTTTCATAAAAAATAACAAAACAAACAAAGTGGTTGAATATTATATCACTCATCCTCGCTCGTCTAATCCCATATCCTCATCTTCATACCGTGTAGAAGGCTTGACTAGAGGCCGAACCGGAAGCCGAGTGACAGAACGATAAAATCATTATGCATGTTATCTTATTTCAATTTTAATAGTTAAACTAATAAAATTACTTATAAAATTTACATTCGAAATGACTACACTATGTCAAAAATTATATAATTTCAACCAAATTTAACGAAACTACATAAAAAATTATATAATTTCAAAATTAAGTTTAAACAAACAACTAACCAAATTAACCTAACACTAATATATATATATATATATATATAATTAATTAATTAATTAATTCGCTTAACTAAAATAAAAATTTAAGATTAAATAATTAAATTTTAATCCAACAACTAAAATTAACAAAATTTAAATTTTTAAGGTTTACGTTAACATACAAATTAACCTAACAATTAACATAACAACAAAATAAAACTTAACAAAATTAAGTTAATGTAATAGTTAAAAAAATAAAATAACAACTAATAAATTTAAACTACTACATACAATTTAGCATAACAAAAAATTAACATAGCAAAATAATTAATAACATTCAAACAATTAATAAACTAAAAAATAAAAAAATTTAACTAAAAATTTATAATAATTATCTAATTTAAAAAACCATAAGAGTTAGAGAGAGAAAGTTTTACCCGATAGATCAAGGATAGGGAACATAGATCTAATCCGATTTTGAGGAAGAAAGATACTCCTCACTTTGTTGAACGGTTTTGAAAAAGATTTAGTGGTGGGAGCGGTGTGAGTGGGCGTTTTCGTAGGTGGCGACGAAAGAGGAGGTATGGTGGAGCCGAGGGAAGCAAATGGAGAAGAAGAAGAAAATGGTATATATAAAGGGAAAATAGCGACGGACCCGATTTTGTCGCCGATTAGCAACGAATTATGGGTCCGTCGCTAATTTGGGGGGAATTTTCCCCCAAATTCTAGAAGTTTAGCAACGGACGTCACATCCGTCACTAAACGTTGGTGAGGTAGCAACGGACTTGGCATCCGTCGCTACTCGATCGAGAATTTGGGAGAAATTTTTTTTCTAAAATCTCAACCCTTACCGATGGACTCGAAGTTCGTTGCTAATGTTAGCGACATATTCCAAAATCCATCGCTAATTTTGGGCCATTTTGGGAGAATTTTCCCCTAAAAAAAGTAAAAATTAGTGATGGATTTGATGTCTATCTCTAATTAGCGACGAATTTGAAGTTCGTCACTAATGTTAGCGACGCATTCCAAAATCCGTCACTAATTTTTGGCCATTTTAGGGGAATTTCCCCTTAAAAAAGTAAAAATTAGTGACGGGTTTGATGTGTGTTGCTAATTAGCAATGGATTTGAAGTCCGTCACTAATGTTAACGATGGATTCCAAAATCCATCACTAATTTTGGACCATTTTAGGGGAATTTCCCCTAAAAAGAACATAAATTAGCGACGAGTTAATGTCCGTCGCTAATTAGTGATGGACTTGAAGTCCGTCGTTAATTTTACGATGGATTTCAAATCCGTCGTTAATTTTGGATCATTTTAGGGCGAATTTCCTCCCAAAAAAGGCACAAATTAGTGACGGATTTAATGTCGGTCGCTAATTAGCGATGGACTTGAAGTCCGTCACTAATTAGCGATGGATTCCTAACTTTGGGCCATTTTGGGAGAATTTCCTTCCAAAAAAGGCACAAACTAACGACGGACATGATGTTCGTCCCTAATTAGTGACGGATTTGACGTCCGTCACTAATTTTAGTGACGGATTTCAAAATTCGTAGCTAATTAGCAACTGATTTGAAGTCCATCACTAATTTTTCCATTTAGAGACCATAAAGCCATCACTAATCCGTCGCTAATTTTGGCTTTTTTTTCCCACCTTATTTAGCGATGGATTTTTTACCGTCGTTAATTATCCCTCGTTAGTCCGTCACTAATCCATCGCAAAACACAACCTTTTATAGTCCATCTCTAATCCATTGCTAATTTGTCGCTAAATAGCGACGGATTAAAAATCCGTCACTAATTTTCATCGCTAATTGGTATTTTTCCGGTAGTGAACCATATACCTTTTTTCCGCAAAAAAATTATAAGTTATTCTACTTGCATATATCGACTCATCTACATAATTGAAGATGAAACTATTGAAGCAAGAGTGTTGATGACTATTGTTGTCGCTACATCATGTTTTGTCCACTCATGCTAGCATTTGGTGTTCGATTGCCGATAGATTGTTAGAAACACAATTCCACGAACTCTTGATTGATCACATCAATGAATATACGATTTTTAGAGTCTATCACAATCTATAATACGACCAACTCGTTGGACCATAACGTTATTACGAATCTTGTCTTTGATTACGATGATATTATTGCAAATCAAGACAATTACCTTCCTCTATGCACATGCTATGATTAGTAGAAAACCATCATCAATAAACAATTATCACTACTACTTATCAATATGCTTTTTTGTTCATGCTTTATTGTATAAATATGTATAAAAAAGAAAAATAAATAACTTTGCAAAAATTTTCTTCTCATAAATAAATTGGGGTAACACATCAAAATCATCATCCAAATAAATGTCTTTCCTATATTATTGAATTAGGTACTTTGATGCTCTTGACAAAAATTTGGTGCACCATTACTCTTTATTATTTATAGCGTCACACCACCTATCTCGTAGTGTAGATAACTAACTCGTAAATTTTATTTTAGCTTTTACACTTTTATGAGTGAAATTTGTTTTAGAGTATTTCAAGAACATCTAGATAATAATTCTTTGGTAGATAGTTTAAGAGTATCTAAAATACTCTTTCTTTCCAAAACTAAATAGGCCTCCCAATTAAAAAAAAAACAAACAAGAATTTTTATTTAAAAATCACAATTTATGTATTTAAAAGTTTTTTTTAAATTTTATTTAGAAGAAGATTTTTTTATTCAATAGTAAGTGATTTTTTTTTTTTTTGTCAGACCATTACGTGTGATTCAAAACTAAATCTCCTCATGGTATGAAAGTTTATTAATAGATACAAGGTGTATTATTATAGTTCCCTTTCTTTTAAATAACAGGGAAAAAAATATATCAACTCATAAAGAAAATCAAACCTTTTAATTTAATAGTAAATAAATAAAGAGCATGTAAATAAAAAAACAGAAAAAACAGTGTATTCAACAAAACGGTGCGTTGGTAGTCCTGTCATGTTGTGTCGAATACTGAAACCAGCAACCGCCGTTCTTAAGAAAGAACAGAAGCCTCGAAGTAAACTGTTTTATGGTTTCAAGATTTTCTGCAACTGAGTTTAGGTTGTTTCTCTAGTAAAAGAGGAGTTAAAGAAACAAAATAAAGAGGGAGTGATGGGTGGTGGAGTACTACTAGGCATGCCTGGACCATGGGCTGATGATAATCGCGAACCATCTGATTTTTATACTTCCAAAATTGGTGGACTCCCGGTAGGTCATTTTTTTTTTTAATTTCCTTCGATTAATCTTGTTTTCTTTGAATGAATTGTAAGCATTCTTTCCCTTAACAGGATTGGCCTTTTCTTTCTGAGCACTTAGCTCCGAGTTTGCTTATTTGTGGTGCTTGTGGAAGTAAAATCTGTCTTATTGCCCAGGTTTTTCTTTTTCTTTCTCTATTCTTTTTTGTGTATATACATTTATGTTGTTGAAAATGAATTGGTGTGTTTGTTCTGGAGAATTATTTTTGTTAAAAAAGTTTTGTACTTTCTCCAGGTTTATGCTCCAATTTCTAATGGAACTTTGAACATTGAAGATCGAACTGTTTTAGTGTTTGGTTGTATAATGCCAAATTGTGGGAACACCCCTCTTAGGTATTTTCAAATTTAATTTTTGTTAATCCTTTGTTATTTCTCTTTCTATCTACAATGTTGTCTGATTTAATGGTTATTAGTATTTTTTATTTGTTTATTCTGTTGGTTGCAGTTGGCGAGCTCTTCGTGTTCAGAAAGTTGATATTGAAAGAGAATCATCTACAAGTACCGAAGACGTGGTCCCTTCAACTCCACCTGTTTCTGTTTCAAAAGCTAACTGGCTGGATGATGATAGCGATGAAGACTTTGATCTTGAGGCTTTGGGTAAAGCGCTTTCTGAAGCTGGAACGTTGGCTTCTCACTCCAAGAAACAAGATGTGAACCGACGATCTGAGCCTGTTGTAAAGAATTCCACTTTGGTGCCAAGGACAGGAGTAGACATGGAAACGCCTGGTAAAGTTTTTTTATGGAACTAGTCTTGACATGTCATCGAACTTATTTAGGCCTGTAGTGTGATCATGAATTTAGTTGTAGATTCATAATTTACCATTAGGCTATTCATTAGTGCTTAGGTAACTTTGTTTGGAATGTGTCTTACAAGAGAGTGGTTGCCATGGTTGATGAGCGTACTTGCATCTTTTCTTTCTTGCTCATGCCAGAAGGTTAAATCTTTGTTTCTTTCCAATTATTGGTGACTTCTTTCCAAATAGTGGTTGCCATTTCGATTATTAAATTTCAACTTGGTTCATTTTTGTTTGGTAATTGCAGTGGTTCCGTGCTTTTATATGTATACTCAAGAGCCATCCTCGAAGGATGTTGTTTCTTCCATATGTTCAAATTACTCCGGACTTTCCATTAAGGAGAAACAAAATTGTGATTACAATGATCATGAAATGGAAGTTGAGGGGGAACAAGAAGTGTATGAATATGATAAAGCTTTAAGTGCTGACAGGACATACCTCAAGTTCAAGAAACAGTTGGATGCAAACCCAGATCAATGCTTCAGGTATTAAGTCTTGGAAGTTTGATTTTGATTACTAGACAGCGATAGCTTGCCACATTAGTTTTTTGAGTACCACCATCATGATTGTTTGATTGTATATTCTCAAGTTATAGCTTGGTATTACTTAACGAGCTTTGGGCTTTCTGAACAAGCAAAACTTAGGAAAGACATTCAAACTATGTTGCTTTCATGTGACATGAAGTTTAGAAACTATAGATATACACAAGGTGTTTGTAACTTCATCAAAAAAATGCTGCACAGATGTTAGTTTCTCTTTCCTCCTATCCCATTATTACCCTATATTAATGACAACCATCGCCGTTTTTAGCATCATTCTTGGAATTAGGCACCTTCTCGTGCGAGGCATCAATTGTTTGTATCTTTAAAGGATTTCTTAATACTGAAGTGGAGTTGATCGGATGGAGATCCCATGAATTTATCATTAATCCAGGTCTTTTGGCTCATCTTTATACCTGTTCTGTGCATGGAGAAATGTCATTTTTCACCATGATCCAGTTTTTCAAAATATTAGAAATTTCTTACTTGTCATGTTTATTTTTGGCTTCTGCTTGATGATTGGGAGCCTTCCACTTTGTTCTAGCAATAAATACAGCAGCAAATATGCTTTCTACAGTTTTACATGGACATTAGAAATTTGTTATTCTTTTCTATAATTTTTTCCTTCCTGTGGTATCATTTACCATTTCTTGATTCCATAGCACCTTTAAATCTTAGTTCTAGTCTTCTCCTATCTCCTTGTAATTGTTCTTCGGTTGCATACTCAGGTACTTGTATGGTGGAAAGCCACTTCTCCCTACAGCAGAGGTGGTAGACCCTGGCAAGTGCAAGTTGTGTGGTGGTTTCAGGCACTTTGAGATGCAATTGATGCCCCAATTAATATCTTTTCTATTAGATGGAGCTGATGATTGTCAAAAAAATGTGCTAGAGAATTGGAACTGGATGACACTTGTGGTCTATACTTGCTCCAAGGTTAGTTTTTTTTACTTTTCTGTACTTTGGTTTATAGGGTTTCCTTTCGGAAAGATTAACCTCATTATCTTTGTAATGGTTCAACGTATAAGCCATTAGATGAACTATATCCTGGAGGATTTGATTCAACAGGGTATGCTGGAATTGAGGAGGGGAAGACTTGGTTGTAAAGATAGGATTTAGTTTGAAAGAATTATAGTGATCAATCAACATGAGTTAGTGGCCATACAACGTATCAAGGTTGTTATATGTGTCAGTGAGCATGTCTTAGGACAAGTGGGAATAAACAAGCAATACCTTAGTAATCATGCAATTAGACAAGGACATGCATGCAAGGCCTCTTCCTTACAGAAGAGGGTAAATCCCTATAGAAGAGGCTGAAGAGTTTGAAAGTAAAACTCTATAGAAGAGGGTTCAAGGAATGTAGAACCGAACAATTGAAAAATCTCAACCTTAATTCAACATTAAACATGTACCCTAAAAGCAATGAACATCACTGAGAAACACTAGCAACTTAAACTAAATAGGAAATACTCCTAATAAATATCCTTGATAATGATACTAAAATTATCAGGAGTTCCTAAGTAATGATAAAACTCTAAAAATCTGAAATTACAAAGAAAATAAATAATAATCCTTCATCCTATACCACAGCACTTGTCACGTCATAACACACTTGTAAATATGTAGAGCTATTAACTCATGCTTATTGGCGCATTAATTACTCAATATCATATGGAACACTTGTTCGCATACCATGGTGTACTTTGCTCTTATACCAAAAAAAAAAAAAAAAAAAAAAAAGCTGTAAAATCGGATCATTTGAATTTTTTAATGGAATTTCTCATGCATGCTTTGGCTGCTTAAGTTTAAAATTCTGATGTTCTCTTTTTATTTTTTCAGAGTTGTTCTAACTCATATGATCAAGAAAAATCCACAACCAACGGCTGGATTGTGGCAGAGGAAGCTGTTTTGGTACAATTTGAGAAACCCTTGCACGAGTCGATTCACCTTGGTTATTTCTCATGATGTGTGACCACACTGCTGGATTGAAAAGTAGAAATCCAAGATTCCTATTTTTTTTCGATGTGATTGATTAGCAGTAGTGATTTATTTTTGGCAGCTGTATTTGGTTGCTCTTGGTTTCTGTAGTATTGATAATGGTTTATGTGTAGACAGTGGGGAGTGCTTGTAGAATCATTTTGTAAAGAAGGGCCGGAAAAGTTTGGATGCAGGGTGTCATCACCTTATTTTTTAACACCATAAAAAAAAAAAAAAGAAAAAAAGAAAGGAGGAGGAATTGAGTGTAGATCAGGATTGCCTGGATTAGGGATTGGGTTAAATCTGACTAATAATAAAAGAGAAAAATTCAGAATAGAACAAAAAAAAAATCCAAAGTTAACCTTATAAGCATTTTTATAAATGCTAGGCATGCATATACACACGAAGGGGAAAAGGACAACCACTTAGAGGGAAAAAAAAAAAAAAAAGGAAACCTGGACCTGTTAAAACGAAAAATACAAAACCTAAAAACCCAAATACAACAGTTGAAGTTCACAGTGCTGTCACTTCTCTCCAGTCGAGGAAAGCTGATATGTGTCATACCACTGTGATTAGAAGGAAGAGACGGAGCCAGCGCCATTGGTTCGCCATCCATTCGACTTCTAACGCTCCCTCACGCGAACGAGTAGCTCGATTGATGCCTTGAGCACAGGTCACACACGCCAAGTCCCTCTCCTTCTCCTTGTTTTCCTTGTGTTCAATTTAGTCCTCGAATTTTTGATTTCACAATTATACCCCTGTGCTTGAACATTTTTTTGGTTTAATTTTCATCCAAGTTTTTATGGATTGCATGAATATATATTTGATTTATATTCTACAATATGAGATATGTGATTGACATAGAATTGAGATGATTAATTGAATTAAAATTGTTTAATTTGAGTTTAATTGAAAAAAATTAAATTGAGAATTCTTGATTTTATTTTACAGATTTAAGAATTAAAATTTAAATTAGTTTATATGTATGTGTGATAAAAGGGTGATTTTTATTGGATAGAGAGTATTTAATATTTTTATGGTTTATTATATATATATATATATATATATAACCATTTTGTCTAGTCACGTAGAAAAATGTTTTCAAATGTTTGAAATGTTATTCAATAGAATTTGAAAATATTAAAACATCATCTATGTAAATAATATAAAATGCGAGCATTGTTGGAAAATGTCATTCATGATCTTCCGAAATTCGAAGGAGCATTCTTAAGATCAAAGGGCATGACTTTTCATTCGTATCGCCCAAAAGGGATAGTGAAAACAGTTTTGTATCTATTCATAGGATGGATTTGGACTTGTCAGAATCTTGACTTCATGTCAAACTTAGAAAAGACAAAAACAGAATTCAATTTTTGTAACAATGCCATCCAGGAGGGAAAAGCTTTTGAATTGCCATAAAAGGGTTTTGATGATAAAATCCGTCTTTTATAGTAATAATGTTTTGAAAATGTTTTTTTTCATAAAATACTCGTAGTCCGATTTTTTAAACTTGTTTTGAGAAGAAATGACCTAAGTGTTTTGTGAAGAAATTTGTACAGATTTATTTGAATCTAAAGAAAGTGGTTTTGAGAAGGAAGATCCTTTCTCTATTTTTAATATATATATATATATATATATATATATATATATATATATATATATATATATATATATATATATATATATATATTTTTTTAAAAAATAGGGTTAAGGATAATGACTTGGTTGTATATTATTTTTATTTTCTATAAAAGTCCACGAGGAACTGTCGGCTAATGATGAAGCAAGCAATAAGCTAGTAATCTTTTTTTTTTTTTTACAAAATTAAAATAAACCAAATATGAATTTATAAGTCGAGGACTATGTCGAGGCCTATGGGCTATTTTATTTTTTGTAAAGTCATTTTTATGTGATATGTGATTTTTTTTTTATATGTTTTTATATCTTGCACTATGTGTGTTTATTTTATGTTATGTTAGTCTAGGTTAGTCTAGATAGAGTAGGTTTGATACATGAGACCGAGTCCAATGACGAACCATTTTTTTATTTTTTTATTTTTATGACTATTTTTTATAGTTAGTTTTAATCATTTATTTTTATGGTACTACTAATTTTTTCTTCTTGTAGATTTAGCACTTAAAATTTTATATTTTAAAATGTCATGACAGGTGATCCTCATTTTCCTTATGTTCAATTTAGTCCTTGAATTTTTTATTTTACAATTATACCCCTATACTTGAACATTTTTTAGTTTAATTTTCATCCAAATTTTTATAAATTAAATGATTATATATTTGATTTATATTCTACAATATGATTTACGTGATTGACATAGAATTGGAATGGTTAATTGAATTAAAATTGTTTAATTTGGGCTTAATTGAAAAAAAAAATTAAATCAAGAATTCTTAACCTTATTTGATAGATTCAAGAATTAAAATTTAAATTAGTTGATATGTATGTGTGATAAAAGGGTGATTTTTATTGGATAGAGAATATTTAATAATTTTAGGGTTTTTATATATATTATTTTAAAAAAAGTAGGGTTAACGATAATGACATGGTTGTATATTATTTTTATTTTCTATAAAAGTCCACGAGGAACTATCGGTTAATAATGAACCAAGCAATACGCTAGTAATTTTTTTTTTTAGAAAATTAAAATAAGCCAAATGTGAATTTATAGGTAGAGGACCTTGTGGAGGCCTATTACCTATTTTATTTTTGTGAAGTCATTTTTATGTGAACTCGTGATTTTTTTTTTTTTACATGTTTTTATGTTTTGGATTATGTGTGTTTATTTTATGTGATGCCAACTTATGTTAGTTTAGATGGCGTAGGTTTATGACTCGAGACCGACTTTGTTCCAATGAAGGATCTTTTTATTTAATTTTATTTTTATGGCTATTGTTTATTGTTAATTTTAATCATTTTTTATAATGCTACTAATTTTTTCTTCTTGCAGATTTAACACTTAATTTGGCTTCGAACTCAATTGTATATTTTAAAATATCATAGCCGATGATATGGGCTTGAGGCCCATGTCCATTTTTTAGTCATTATGGACTCGTAATTTTATTTATTTTATGGTTTGGCATGTGAATTTGGGCCTAGGCCCACGTACTTTTTTTTTGTTTTTTTTTTTTTGAATTTTGTGGGATTCGGATTTATCGTGCGATGGGCTTTTGGTCCTAATTTTATCTTCCCAAATGGCTCTAATAGCCTAATGACATATTAGGTGAGAGACCGAGTTTTATTTCGGTCTCCAAATCACACCTCTTAGAACTTGATTAGAAAAGGCCCAAATAGTCAAACACACAAGTTAAGATAAAAAAATAATTTACATGAATGAATTTTCCTAAGCTAGAAACACAAGGTAACCTCATGGCGAGGGCACTTTAGGATGATTGTAGCCTTCCCTAATTGTGTAATCAACCCCCGACTTAGAACTCTTGAGATTAGTGCTAGGTTTTTTTTTTAATTTTTATCTTTTGAAAACAAAGTGGTGAATCCATATTTACATATAAACATTTTTATTTTTGTAATCATCAAGAGGTCATCATGTGACGGAATGGCAACTCGTACTAGGGAACTTAGGGGTTAAGCCTATATTGTTTTTCTTGCATTTGGGATTTATTTTATTTGATGCATTTTTATCTTGGCTTTTTATTATGTATTTGGTGTCTTTCACTTTGATATTTGGGCTTGTATATGAAGAGTGTCCTCTTTGCACACACTAGCACTCACATAAGAATGATTTTTGAGTTTGCACATACTCGATCCTTTAACCTATGATTAGAAAGAATGAGGTGGCACTCGAGGGACCGCGATCCTAAAGCTCATGCAACTCACCTTCTCGCTCACATTATTCTTATGCATGAGACTATGAAGGGCAACTTGGTAACCTTCATGTATAATAATAGAGCTTCAAGTATCTTTTATTATGGTAAAACTTGAGCTATGATGGAAGCCTTTGAAGAAGTTAGGTTAAGACAACCTTACCAAATCATGTTTAAATAAATCTAGAACTTATCCCTAAGACACCACTTAGGACAAAGGGTATACATTATTTGTTTTCTTATGCAAAATATTCATACCATTGTCTTACTTTAGAAGTACCATGACTATCAAGACTACCATTAATGGTGATTGCTTTGCTCTCTTGGATTAAGATACCATGCCCCTTATTAGCATAGTTTGGTATGGAATTGGCGACAATAGTAAACACCATCTTGATGTCTAGCCGACTATTGTCTTTAAAATCAAATTAATAGCCATGATGCTTCTTTTAGTTAAAATACACTTCAAAATCACACCTAATCATGAGTTCTCATATTTTGCACATTCATCTCGGGAGAAATATAAGTCGTACTATAAAAGCTCAATCTCATCCAAAGATACATAATACAAGACTTAAGAGAAAGACGAAGAATAAAGAAAAAATCATCTAAGGAAAAAATATACCAATGAGTTTGAGGCTCTCAGGGAGATGTGATTTGAATAACTAGTTTGTTAGAGAAACTATTGGAAGAAAAAACAATAAATGAAGGGACCTCTAAGGGGGCTAGTTTCCATGTGCGGCTACATACTAAAGAACCCGTTGCTTTTTCCACATCAAGCATCGAGGTAACACCATAATTACCCTTTTTGGTCGATCATCTTTTAACCATACCTACATTCCAAGAGGCATCCGCCCATCTTCAGCATTCATCATATCCTACTACCCAATACCCATTTTTGGTACTTCCAAATGAACTCATTAGTCGGACGAATCCGACTATCGATACCACAATTGGAGAACCGATCAAAGCAAAAACTATTGATAATGATAAACTTTAATTTATTAAGAAGTGTCTAAGGGTGATTGAAGGAATAGATCTTTATAACCTAGTGAAAGCTATTGAAATGTCTTTGGTGCCCGATGTTATCATCCCAAGAAAATTTAAAGTGCCTAAATCCATAAAATACACAGGTATCCAATGCCCAAA